CTCTTTCTGCCCCCACCCCCTCACCTCCTTTGCCCCCTCCTCTGGGCTCCTGACTCTTTCTGCAGCCTTTCTACTGCTACTCCTTGACTCCTTCTTACTGCTGTCTTTCTGCCACACCCCTGTTCTTCTGGTAGGAAAGATCTACACCTAGCCTTCTCGGACAAGGGCGAAAAATCTTGGAGGGCCCGTGTGCAAGTTGCGCACGCTAAAGATCCCTTGGTGGTCTAAAATCGATAAGAGTAGGCTTCGGCCCCACCCGGGCAAAATTCTAAATTTCCTACCAACTGAAAATATTAGGTGTGTCCTGCACACTCATATGACCTTATGCAGTTGCGAGCGCCTTAAAGCACTTTACAAAAACAAACAAACAACTCACTCAGCTCTAGGCCTACTCTTCCGGGTTGTCAGCTCTCCCAAGAGATTTTTGCCACTTTTTGAAAAATTGAAAAAATATTAAATTTTAACATATCCTACTCAAATTTGGTACACATTTTATTCAAACCTTTATTTCTGTATATTGAAAATTTTAAGGCAAAATATGATAAAATTTTTATGCAGTACTCCGTGGAAAAAGGTCTATACACAGAGCTAAAAAGTAAACGAAATGAGAAGAAAGGAAGTGCGTTCAATTTTCGCACCCCCAAACATGGTTCATGAATATATAGTTTTCTTCGCTCTAAATTTGGGCTTGCACTTCTGGTCATAGTCTGTTTCAAACGAAATGGTTACTCTTCCTATTAGGCTATAGTCTGCTTCACACAAAAGTAGTGTTTTCTGTCACGAGAGTGAAATTTTTCTTACCGATACTGTCAGCGTTAGGGTTTGAGCGTTGCACGCGCATGCTGATAAAATCGGCAATAGGACTGTGTGCGTTAAGCTTTCAGGGTATTAATTATAGCTGTTGGGGGAGGGGGAAAGGGGAGGGGGTTAACCTCGTGGTAAAGTGATTGCTTGGCAGACAAAATAAAAGTCCTCAGATTGATTCCAGGTTTATGCTGACATGGTTGGAGATAAAGATTGGATTTATTTTCAAATCATCCACATTTGTAATTTTACTGTAGTTGGGATGCTCAGTTTAGTCTTTGGACAAGGATAGAAGAATTTATGGGTTCCATGTATACGATGTGTAAGGTGCCATGCCCATGAAAAGCGGAAAGTAATGAAGGATGAGAATTAAATGGTACATTCAAGTGTTGTCGCAAACATTGCTGGTAATGACTATATTTGTGGTTGTAATATGTAATAAGGAGTCAATTACTGCAAATTGATTCTTGGAACAGATTGTCATGGGTGGTGATGTACAAAGGACATTTTGTTTGTCAGCCAGATGTCTGCCTCATCGAATTTGATTGATGAAATGGCTTCTAAACATACAGACCGAATGAAAATACGGAATTTTATTTTTGTTTCTCTGGTCTCCTTATTTTCTTTATTACCACCAGTAGTGAATGTGAAAAGTAAGTGTTGTTAAAAAAAAATGATTCCTCTCACATTATCTGTTGTTATCTATTTGCAGTGTCAATGGAGTCCCTACGTGTGCTAGCAAAAAGTTGCTCACAGATATTCTGCGCACTGAGTGGAAATTCAGGGGCTATGTTGTTAGTGACGAGGGTGCCATTGAGAATGTCATCAGCGGTCACAAATATCTCAACAACAGCGTAGACACAGTGGCAGCCTGTGTTAATGCGGGCACGAACCTGGAACTCTCTGGCAATCTTCCACAACCGATTTTCATGTCTATAGGTTTGTAATTTATATAAGGAATTTGCCTTTGCTGCCTATAATAAACACACCGGGAGCTAAAGTTTATCCTGCTTTAAAAGGAAAAATAGGGGGGGGGGGGGG